ATCAATTAATTCATGGTAACTTTCCAACAGTCAGATATTTCTTAGTTTTATTATAAAACTTATAGACATATGGTAGAATATGACAGCTTCCTTGAAAGCATTCTTCTATGTTCTACTACTAAATAACAGGATAATTTAACAAGATGATTTGGAAGTTTCATTTATTGAAGAATCAATAATGAACTGTTCCATTTTAGTTCAGAACATACAAGCTGTGCCTAAAACATTTTCTCTATTTCTTTTGATTGATGGTTTCAATACCTTATTTAATATGAAAACAATTCCTAATGGAGGAAACTAAAGAAGTATTGCAGAAGAGTTGTGGAAACTATGAATAAAGCAATAGAGGTAAATATTACTACCATGATTTTCAAATGATGAAACTTGCAAAGAAATGTAATGAACCGATATCACATTCCAACATACTTTCTGTATCTCCCTATAGTGTCTGTTAACTGTATCAAATGCACTAAGTACTCAAAACTGACTAATGAAGGAACTTGTTTTTTTCTTTTGAGGTAAGGTCTTACCAAGTAGCCCTGGTTGGCCTCGAACTCACCATTCTCCTGCCTCAGCCTTCTGTGTGCTGGCATCACCACAGCTTGCTAATAAAAACATGTTTGAGATTCTGGTTCCAAGTTACGGATAGCAGAATACAGACAGAACTGTAAGTTTATTACACATAAATGATCAGTACCTACTGATAGGAGAACTTAGTCATTTGTGATGCCATGACTTGGGGTTCTGACAGGTGCCCCACTGTCCAGAGCTAAGAAACACAATTGGTTAATAGATACTACAGTGTCACGTAAATATTTTTCATTTATTTCTGGGATGTTAGTTCATGTTATGTTGTTCTTTTCCTCTCTATAAACAAACAACCAAAAATATATCTTATTATCAGTTATTGTCCTAAAATTAATGATAGCTTAAATACCTGAAAATATCCAACTCCTCTAAAGTACATTAGTGGTGCATTTTCAACTGAAACTAAATGCTAACATATCTAGTTTTCTTCAAGACCTTTCACTTTTCACACACACACAAAAAAATCAACTGATTTAGGAGAGCAGGTATTTCCAATTTATTACAGGAATTCTGTGATAAGAAAAAAAATCTGCTTCCTAGCTTAAGTATAGCATTCACACAATATGGCACTCAATGTATTATATGGATAAGTTACTACCAAAAAAGTTTTACCAACTGTTTCTGAATATGAATCACTACCAGGAATATCCCAAATAGCAATGTCCTCTAAAGAAAACCAAGAAGTCAGCAGTCCAGTGTCAGAATGAGTTCATCAATCAAAGAGATTTAGGTAGAGTAGGAAAGAGGGTAGACAGTAAAACAGGTAACTACTGCTATTCATATGTAATAGCAAAGAAAATATCAGAAGATGCATAGCTCAGGAAAAATAGAATGGGTCAAAACAAAGTACTGACATGCTAGAATATTTTTTAAACTAGGAAAATATCTGTATTATACAAGGGATGCAGAACCAGGGGCACTTCATATTTAATCACTCATTACCAATATATATTGAATTTATCTCAGGATGAATTAAAATCACAAGAAAGTGGTCCAAATGAACTGAAGGACTTCCAGCAACTAAGAAACTGTACTCATATCTAATAAGTACCTCTAAGTAGCTTTACATAGCTCTCATCAATCTGATTTTCTTTCTTTTTTGGAGGGTGGTACTGGGATTTGAACTCAGGGCCTCGTGTTAATTAGGCAAGCACTCTACCACTTGAGCCACTCTGCCAGCCCCTGACACTCTGATTTATATGGAAACTTCCTGGGAAAGAATAAGATTTGGACATTATTATCAGTGCACAGTGTGGATATCAAATAGATGGTAAATTCAACCATTCTTCAATTTTCCAAAGGAGTTTCATGCTTTGTTCAAATGTAGCTTATTTTTGGGAAAATGCCCTTCTTCCACCAACCAAGTTAGTACATAAAAGGAGATAATATTTACATTGAATTTACAGTCTTTTTTCACTTAAAGGAATACCCCTATGTTTTGCTACAATATATTAATCTAAATGATTGCTTTTAAACTTCACTATGCAGAAACTTAGAAACACAGATGTCAGTCAAATGGGCTTTGAAAAGAAGTCTGCAATTTTCATTAACTCATTCGAACTGAAATCTTTTTGAAATACATAGTGCAGCTATACTGATGGTTGTTCTCAGTCATTTAGGGGCTGCATTCTAGTAAAGGGTGTAGTGGGTGAAAGCTGAAAATAACATGCAACATTTAAAAGAAACGTAAGACTTGCATTAAGGAACCAAAACCTACATATTATGCAACAGTGAACATGACTTTTTCAAAGTTGTTTCTGCTATCACACATACAAAAAAAGCAGTTCTAGAAACTACTGTTTATACATATTTCAATAATAAATATTGCTCTTAAAACACAATCTATAATCTGACTTGTAATATGACTGAAAAACATATTAACACTATGGTTAGTCTGTTTCTCTGGCAAAGAGCCTAAAGTAAAACAGAATAATTTAACTTTCTTTCAAACATTCTGGCAAGGGTAAAAAGCCAGATCAAAAGAGAATGATTTGAAAATTGGCAATAAATCCTTACAGACAAAGAGTGGCACTGATGTGAAATCTGGAAACATAACTGCTTTCTATATATACTCACAGGTGACCTTGTTTTCAGATGAGTATTTACAGAGATTCTAGAAAGCGATATAACCAACTAGATAACCCAGGCTTTTCAACCTTTATTATGTCTCCATAATATTTAATTGCCAGTAATTTCAGCTGAATGCTTAAATATCTAACAGGATTTCATGTCTCTTACTATTCAATGTCTGCATATAGATCTATAAATGTCATATGTGATATTTTACATAATATTGTCTCTCAGAATAATGACTTTGACTAAATAAAAACTGGAGCATTTGAGTTTTAAAAACTTTTTCCACTTTCTAAATTGTACTTTTTAGGAATTATTAGAGACTGAATTTAAAGTAAAAATGTCACTTTGTAAGTTTTAACAAAAAAGGGTTGTTTTAAACAGATTTCAGTAAACACTGTTTTAGACAAATTTAATAATCAAGTAGTACTTGACACCGACAAACACTGAGCTTCCTTTAAAACCACAGGCATTTCTTTCTATTGTAGCAGCTGCAGCACAGAACCCTATGACAGACAGAGGCTAAATTATGAAGCCGAGAGTGAGGGCCAGGGGAAAGAAGGACAGGTGAACTTGAGCCAATACAGTTTAAAAAGTAGTTAACAGACTGTATCAGAAAATTAACTTCAGGACAATAGAAATGGTTAATTACCCCAGATGTAATGTATCTCTTCTTTTAAGGATGGAAGGCAACCAAATAATTTTTATCACAATAATATACAGTAGTAGAAAACAAATTAATCATTCAAATTCCAAGAGGTTTTCCTTGGGGAATTATGGGAGGAGAGAGTGAAGATTACAAAACTGAAAATCTGAAATAAAACAAATTCAAATTATGATTTCATGGTAACAGAAAAAAAATTAAGGAAAAGAGTATTTCTCTTGAAGGAAGAGTAACTTTCCATAACTGGTTTTAAAAAGCACCTATGAAACTGTGCTGTCAGCTGTCACAATGGAGGTTTTGGATTCTTTTAGCAATTGCAGCATAACAAAAGGCATTCACAGCATAACTTTAGGGAAAATGTTATCTCACATAAAATCACACAGAAAGCAATTAAAAAATTATTTTAAAAATGATTAAAAAATACATAAATTTGTCTGTGTAGCAGCAGTTGCTCCTGTACTTGCCCTTTAAAAAAATATGAAACAGAAGCAATAGAGTGGGGAAACACATGAAAGGAGGTAAGAGCAGCAGCTTTAAATAAAAGAGCAAATACTTAAATACACAAAGGAGGGTTCCAAATAAGGAAACAGTACTGTGCGACTGTCACTTACACCAAGTAAAGTGCGTTGCCTATATATTTATGGATAACATTCTCCCTCTGTGGAAAACAAGAAATCTACTTATCAGTATTTTTGATATTAAAAAAAAAAAAAAGACATTCACTATCATAGCCCTGATAGTTCTCTTCCAGTATTCTTAACCATTCAGATATGTTTTTTTGGGAGTATTTATTCACATAATTTTGCTTAATACATTTCTTTCTACATAAGACTGAATTTATAAGTCTCTGTGACTTTTTAATTACAGTAATAACACACTAGTAAATTATAAATTAACAAAATCTTTGTATTTGCTTTAAAAATCATTTGTCAAATGCTAATTTCCAGATTACCTGGAAAATTAAAGATGCAAATTGCTATAAATCTAGCATCCCAATTAAATTCTGATTTTTTAAAAGTATATAAAATATCCCTCAAATTATTCCAAGTTCCACTCCAAAGTTTTTATTTTACCCTTTTCATAAGTTAAAGTTTACAGTTGCTGAACCCAAATGTGGTAAAACTGCTTGGAGATGCAAAGCACAACGAAATAATTACATGAAAAGAACAAACAGAAAATACCCGTTAAAACAAAGTTATTATAGCTGGCAGCACTTAAAATTGGTAATTTGTGTCTTTTAAAAAGTTGCATAGCTGCAAGATGATTCATTGCTAATTAACTGTTGAGCAGTTTTATTTAAGAGGAAACAATGTATTCCATAATCTGCAATTCAGTATACAATTCTACATTTCATTAAAATGTAATTATGTACCTTGATTTACTCTTTGGATGGCATTCTGGTAATATTAGGCCTTTAATTTAAAAATATTAACATATTTTAGCTTTCCTATGTAGAAGTCTATTTTCCATACTTAAAGAGAAAAATGGAAGAACTTGAGATCATGGTCTACATTCAGAGAATGTTTACTGCTTGATTACATTTCTTGGTTTCACAGTTCAGACTTTATAAGAAGTAAATTATGTGGTTTTCAATTTAAGAATAGATAAATACAGAAACATTATGTTGGGGAAAATAAAAAGACCCCAAACTGAAAAAAAAAAAAAAAAACACCCAAACAAAACAAATTAAAACACAGCTAGTTGCACTGCTCTAGAGAACTTAATAAAAAGTAAATCAACTTTTAAATCACTTAACTTTGGCGTCTGAATACAAAATGTTTATCAGTATTATCTATGTAGATGACTATTAAGGGATGTGCAGCATTTTCAAAATCCCTGTGTGTCCCTTATATGCAAGTTTGGTACACTGAGTTCTGTGGTTACTGTCCTCTCTTCAGCAGGATTTTTTCCCTGTTTGATTATCCATCTCTGTATTACCAAGTGTCACAGAACTCAGATTTCTGGCTGAGTAAGCCTGCATTTTTGTTTTTCCAGAGACAGATCCTCAAATCCTCTAGATTTTTCAAGCATCTCGAAAAGACAAGAAAACCTGTGTAAAAACAGATAAAGAAAAATTTAAGCCATGCTCCATAATACTAATACAAATCAAAATATAATTTCCCAAAGAACACTGCTTTCATTACTGTAAACTTTCATGAACTATTCCAAAAACTCATAAAATTAGTAATGTGAAGAACAGATAAAGACAGAGGATGACCAGTTAAAGCTTAACAGTGTCACAAAAACTAGTCAATGCTATCCTCTGTCTCTCTCACACAGGCTGGCCTAGAACTTCCAATCCTCCTTCTCCGGAGTGCTGGGATTATAGGCATGTGCAACCATGTCTGTCAAAAACTCATTTTATTAGCATTTCTCTTAAAATTCATCTATAATTTTACTGTAATTTTACTTTATTGGTACAGACATAAGGCAACACTGAGGGCATTTCAAAGCATCCTCCCCCAACCTTTTTCAAGGGCTGGAGATGCAGCTCAGAGATAGAATACTTGCCTGGCATGCCCAAGCAAGGCTCTCAGTTCAATATCCAGCACCACAAATAAAAACAAAACAAAAGCTTTTTTTATACTGAAATAAAGATATACATGTATACATACCCAAAATACCACTCCATCACTATACTACTCTTACCTAGAAATCTAATTTCAATTCATATTTTAAATGTGTCAAGGTATGATATGACTAAGTTCACAGTAAAAGGGTCAAATACTCTCCTGTGTCAATATTCTAATCTGCTACTCTTGAGATATACTCATCAATAGAGCAACAGAATCCCTTGAGATGTTTATTACTTCAAAACTTCATTTTGAAATTAAAGAGCAAGAGTTACTGAAATAAAAGGAAATGGAGGGACAACACAGGAAAACACTCCAAGACATCACCTGCTCCCTCTAGTCAAGAGCCATTCAGCAAAGACAATGGCCAACTACAATCTTCAGTCTTTGACCACTGAGGCTCTAATTCCTTTGGAAACAAATTCCAAGATGTGCTAAATGTTCTACCTTGATGTACAAATCCAGAACTTATCACATTTCTGCAAGTCCTTCCATAAATGCTTTTAAATATGTTTGAAGACAGTAATTAACATTTATTTTTCCAAAGCTAAAAGATGCCACTGAATCTACTTTATAGAATATATAAACCGACAATATGCATGTGAAGTTATCCTTCAATTCACTCAATGTTTTTAGATAATACAGAACCACGAAAAGCTAAATGAACAGAGAAAAACTATTATTTGGTTTTAAAATTCAGTTCAATTTTCTTGTCTACCACATACAGTAGTAGATAAGCACCTTATAAAGCGGTGAGGATATGAAGGTGAATGATTTAATGGTAAGTGATTAGGTAAGTCAATTCATGATGCAACTTTTTAAAGAGAATGTTTCTATCTAATCACAGAATAACTGCTTAAAAATGGTCTTTAGAGCCAGAATGCCCGGGTTTGAATACCAATTCCACCACCAAACTAGCTAGGTGACCTTGACAAGTCAACTTTCTTACAGTGTAATAGAAATAATAATAATGGGATTGAGCTCAATGCTTTAACTATTAAATGAATAACTACTACTTATAAAAATGCCAGGCACATAATGATAACTGGTTAGACTCACATTATTTACCGACAAACACATCTAAGGGTTGTAAGGAGTACAGTCTCAGTACACCAGTGAGCATCATGGACCTGGAACAACTTGCTGCTGTTGATGCTTTGTTTTTTCTCTTCAATCACGTACTGAGGTATGAGTGACATACAAGAAGTTGTACAAGTTTACCATAAGCAATCTGATGAGTTTGGTACAACTTGCTTCTTGGAACTAACTACATCAATTGGGCCTCTTACTGGGAAAATAATGTCATGATATACACTTCATGGGTTTTTTTCTGTTGTTTCAGTATAACTACAATAGGCAAATGTGTTTTAAAGCACCAAGAACATAGTTACTCATCATCTGATTCTGCTCAGGAATTGAGAAAAGATGTTTTTATGTAATTTTTTGTTTTGTGAGATTTTTTTTCAGTGCTGGGGCTTGCACCCATGGCCTTGTATATGTAAGCATATGCTATGTCAATCACTGACCAACACCCACTGCTTCTTTTAACATGCTTTCAAATGCAAATTTAACTACTCTAATGAAGTACCTGGAATACACAATCGCATGCTTCCACAAAGACATGTGCATGGATGAATAACAATGACAGCTAAAACTGTGTAATTCAAGATAACATTTTAAAAAGCAATTAAAATAAAGAAAGAATTACCTATCAAACAGGAATCAGATGCTTAATCTGAAGGATGCTCAGGGCACGATCTATTTACTTCAAACCATTCATCTATGCAGCTAGAAAAGAATACCGCCAGAAAAATTTAAATACTACGTCAAATTATTTAGATGACAGCCATAATAAAAATGCTTACAACTTGACTTTAACATATCTTTGGAGAAAAAAAAATCAATATTTTTAATGATAATATTTGGCATATAGAAATAAAGCGCATTTTTTATATTTTGATTATTCTAAGACATTAAGGGGAAAATACCTGCAAAGTTATGCTGTAAAGCATTTTAATATTTAAACAGAGCAAGTATTTCCTAAAGACAATTTCAAAAACTGAATCAATATTAAAGGACAAATTTGGAAATGTATCTCTTTTCAAAATAGCTACTCATACAACCTGTTCATGTTACCTATCAATGTAATAAAAATTGCTTTCAAATTTTAATCCTTCACATTTTAAATGACTATTTGTATGCAATTCTTTACTTTAAAATTCTATCCCATTGTGCAATGCATGTATCTACACAGATAAAAATACCATGATCCATTTGCACAGAGTAGTTCATGATCTTATTTTATTAGAAATTAAATATGGGGCTGGGGGGTGTAGGTCAGCAGTTAAGTATTTGCCTAGCATGCATGAGGCCCTGGGTTTAATCCTTACTACTGCAAACAAACAAACAAACAAACAAAAAACCAATTGCTTTAAGTGGGGCAGGGAGGGACATGGTGGGGACAATGTAACTAATGTACAATGTAAGGCTATTTGGAAGTGGCACAATGAATCCCTCTGCACAATGAATACATGCTAATAAAAATGAAATGAAGTGACTTGGCCATTGGCTATTCTATTGGACAACACAGATACAGAACATTTCCATCAGAGCAGAAAATTCTAATTCACAACACTCTACTAGATGATAAAATCAATGTCTCGAAAGGGTAACTTGCCCAGCATCTAGAAAGTTACCCAAGTAGTAGGATTCAAACTGTTCAGCATTCTCACTGGTGATACATGAGCTACAAAGCTAGAAGGCTTAGATAATGTGGTGAAGAGCAAACCTAGTAATTTATCATTCTCACATCCCAAAGGCTGGTTTGTTAGGTAAAAATGATGAAGAAAAAAAGTGAAGTACCCCATCCACACATTCTTTCAAATGTCTAAAACACAGTTTCTGTTGCCATTAAGACTTCTGTTCTCTAAACACACCAATTTGGCATGACATTCTTTTCAATCTGCTCTGTACCATTTGCTTCTAAAAGTTCCTTGGTCTATGAGAATACCTGTTAAAACAAGTACTGAGAATTGAACAAAATACTCTAGATGTGTTAACAATTCATGGTATACCTGAATAAGATATGTGTAAACTAGGATGGGTACTTCTTATTTTATAACCATGTAATTTTGGCTCATATAATTAAAATTCCAGGTCCTTTTCATGTAAACTGGCACTGATCCACACATTTCCTATTCCAAACTATCATCACTGGTTATTCAAAAGATGGTATTTTCTTCTCCCAGATCCAGCAGGCAGTCACTATCCTGAATTTGGTGCTTTTCATTCTTCAGCATTTTCCTACTCTACAACCATATATGTGTATTTTACAACAATAAACAGTAGTTTCCATAAAAATTATGTAAATGCTACCACAAATATTATGCTTTTCTAACTTGGGGTTTTCATAAATGCTTTTTAACTTGTTTTGTTCACTTCTGAGTTTGTAATTATTAATAAGGCCCCAATTTTGATAGTCCCGTTGTATATAGTATTCTATTATGCAAGTATACCACAATCTATGAATCTATTCTTCTACTGATGGACATTTTCAATGATGTATAAACATTATTTGAAAGGGGTTTGCACCAGAATATAAATTAATCACAGAATTTGAATTTAAAAAGATTTTTAATCCTACAAGGTTTTCTCAATGAAGAAAGCAGTATTGATTTACTTCCTGGCGTAAGCATCTTCTCTCTGTAGATAGCAGTGTTCTAGAGCAAAACATCAAGCCTTTTCTTGGGCATATGTCCAGGGGTGGAATTACTGAGTTACAGCATTATGTACCACACATGGCTATTGTAGTTATCCACCAAGTATTATCACTATATTTGTGTACTTATTGGCTAACTGGGGTTCCCTTTTACTGAATTAACAATTTTTGCAAATTTCCTATTTTGATTTAGCCTTTTTTAAATGAGCAATTATTCATGTACGTCAGCTACAGTATTCTTTTTCTTTTTTTTTTCCTGAGACAGCAGCTTGCTATATAGCCCAGGCTGTCTTCAAACATGTGATCCTCCTGCCTCAGCTTCCTGAATGCTGGAATTACACGCATGTGCCTCCAGGCTTGGCGATGTATGTGTTTTTGATGAACCTTGCTTTCCACAAAATTATAAATGAAAACAAACCAGGCCTTATGGGAAAAAATAGTAAGTTTAAATCAGACTATCTAAATTATATAATTTTGAAACCAGGAAAAAAGAAAGATCTGTTCATTTCTAATAAATACTACTGTAAATATAGTTTTTTGTTTTATTTTGTTAATGGTAGCTGGGACTGGTGGCACACACCTAAAATCTAAATCCAAGCACTTTAGAGGCAGAGGCAGGAGGAACATAAGTTCCACGTCAGCCTGAGCTTCATGGCAAGACCCTGTATTGGGGGGGTGGGAGGAAAGTGAAATTAGCATCACAGAAAGATGGTCAGGGAAGTATTTAGACTGATAGGTTATGAAGACAAAAGCTAATGCACAAAATATGAGAACCATGAAATAAATACTTCAAAAGTTCATGGCCTAACAGAACTAAGAGTGATAACATAGGCATTCTTAAAATACTGTATTCTTCTGTGGCTTGCTATGTTAGCATATATGTTTTTATTTGTTATTACTCAAATGTGTTGTGACACTAGTAAGATTATGTCATATTTTCATCACTCTTCCATTTACCAGCTGCAGTCAACTGCATTATAGAAAGTGACTTAAGGAGCATATTACATTAGATGCAAAGCCTTTGCTACTGTATGTGTTGAGAACTACTCTCAGTGTAAAGTCTAGCTTTGTACTTTTTCAGTGCAAATAAGTTTTGAATTTTAATACAATCAAATCACATTTATTAGTCTTTTAAGTTTTTTTTTTTTTTTGAGGGGTGTAACTTAAGACAAAAAATAATTCCTTATGAACTGGTCAAAAACATTTTCCTATATTCTTTACTCATATTATTTTATTTTATATTTTATTTTGGTGGGATTGGAGTTTGAACTAAGGGCTTCACACTTGCAAAGCAGATGCTCTATCACTTAAGCCACACCTCTAGTAGATTTTGATTTTCAGAGGCAGTATTTAGACAATGTATAATTGATTTTTATTTCTGGGATTCAACTATTTTGTCCTATCAATAACCAACTGATTCCCAGTACCACTTATTTACCATTTTTTCTCTACAACACTGTAATACCATCTCTGGCAGATCAATGTTTTCATTTATTCAACAAACTCTTATATAGCATCTATTAGTGCCAATAATTTAAAAAATTTACTCACTGAAACTCTCATAACTATATAAAGCTGGTACTATTGTCCTCATCTTACAAATTTAGAGAGAGAAAAACTAAGCAACTTGACCAAGATCACATAGTAAACTGCTGGAAAGGATGAGATTCAGATCTTGAAATCTGGACTTCAGAGTCCATGTTCTTAAGCCCCACATTGTGTTTTGTCTCCACACAAGTAGGAGTGTTTATGGACTCCACTTTGGCCTTCCTGTGTTATTTCCCCAACATATCAATGTAACTTTATAATGAATTTTTATAGGACAAGGTTCCCCAACACAGTATTTGTCATGAGTATCTTCACTCTTTGGTTCGTATGTATTTTTACAATCAACTTGTCAAGTTGTATGAAAAAACTAATTGAAATTTGACTGCGACAGTATTAACCACACAGGTTAATTTGGGTTAAAATGACATTGTCATGATATTGATTTCATATACTTAACATGAACTTCTGCATTTACTTTATCCCCCACGTTATTATCTTTAAATAAAGTTTTAAAATTTTTTCTAAAGGAAATTTTAGCATGGCTTTTGTAGAATTTATTCCTAATATTCTTTGCAACCCTAACAGGCCTTTCTTTTGCCTTTAATGTTATTATTTCATGAAAGGTTGTATTTTCATTTTTTCTTACTGGGATATGAATGCAACTGATTTCCATGTCGATTTCCTATCTGGCAACCCTGATGAACTCCACTAATTTTAATAATTTATTTAATATTTACTCTTAGCTTTTGTTTTAAAATCATTAATAAGTGCAGAATTTTACTGAGTTAATAGTATACTTATCATTATATAGTGACTCTATCCCTAGTCATGTTTCTGGTATAAAATTCATTCATGCTTTCTACTATAAACTTCTTCATTAATGTAGTCAATTATATATATAATTTTTCTAATCCTATGATATCTTGTCATTCCAAGTATGTTTGATTTTGTCATGAGGCATTATTTTAGATATATATTGTTAAATATGTATTTCTAAATTTGGTTTCATAATTGTATATTTGGACATTGGCATCTAAGTTAATAATATATATTTTCCTTCTTGTGCTGTTCTTGTCTAGTATTGGTATCAAGTTTCAAGTTCATTATATTCTCAGAAACCCGACTTTTTCTTTTTTGGAAGAATTTAAGATTGTTAACATACTGTATTTTGTATGTCTGGCAGAATTCACTGCCAAACTGTCTCTGAAGGCTCAGTTTTAGGGTTTTCTTTTTTAACGTTTGGACTTTAATGCATTACTCTTTGATTATTTTCTTCTCAGATGTTCAAATTTTTTTTTCTGTTTTCCTTGTGCTTGTTCTGTTATTACTTTTTTAATTTCTTAAGAAATTTCATTTATTGAATTTACCTCTTTCTATATATTCTAACGTGAGCCTCTCCCTCCCAAACATTACACGCTCTAGGTGCACACCAAACATTTCCATTATTAGTTAGCTCCAAGTATTTTCTAAGTTCCATTGTGATTTCTTCTTTGATCTACAAGTTATTTAGAAAGATATGTGAGGATCATTTATGTTTTTATTACTGATACCTAACAGTGGTCAGGGAGAGTTCTGTAGGGAACCAGTTCTCTGTAGTTTGCTGAGACATGCTTCATGGGCTAGGTCAGGATCAATTTCTATCATATTCTATGTATGTGTGAAAAGAAAATGGATTCTCTAATTGCTGAGTACAGATACAAATACACACATTCATTACATCAAATGTGATAAAATGCACTGCTCAATTTTTCTAGTTTCCTAACTCCCTTTCTTTGCAGGTGCCTGCTTGAGGAAGAGGTGTTGAAATTTTCCATTTTGTTGACAGATTTGTCAGTTTCTTCTGATAGCTTTATAAATATTGTATTTTGACACATTAGGTATAAAAATAGAAATCTATGTACTTATCATTTTATAGTGACTCTATCCCTAGTCATGTTTCTGGTATAAAATTCAATCATTCTTTCTACTATAAACATTAGTTTAACTTTGCCAGTTTATTTTAGCTAGTATTTGCCTGGACAGTTTTCCTTGCTTTTGTCTATATCTTTATGTTTAAATGTGTTGCTTATGAACAATATATCACAACCTTTTTTTAATCTATTTTTCAACTGGTGAGTTTGTTCTTTATGCATTTATTTTATAGTTGTTGAGATACTTGGGTTTATTTTTGCCTCCTTATTTTGTATTATTTACTCTAATTTCTGTCTTCCCCCACACCTTTAAGTAAAAACCCACCTTACTTCTTTCACTGGTTTGAAAGCTACAGCTTTCTATTCTTTTTGTGGTTAAACAGTTTTTTGTTTTTTTTTTTTTTTAATTAAACTTTATCTTACATTGCTCTGAAAGGATAAAGAATGTGTAAGAAGCCAGAAAGGCTTTAAAGTAAAGCAGATTTCAAATCTACTGGAATCTCAGCTCTGTCATTTACTAGCAATATGACCTTAGAGAAACTCCTTATTTTCTCAACTGTAAAATGAGGTTCTTGTTAAAAGGCTTACATGAGACAAAATCAGACAATATCTGAATCATAGAAAATGCTTAAAAAATGGTAGCCTTTTAGATACAACATGTATGGGTTCAAGTATTATTCTAGCAGGGGAAAAAAAAAGCCACTATTGAGGCCATATGTTGAGAAGAAGGGTTTTAGTGAAGAGGAAATCTTTCAGCCCTAGCTAAAATGCTTGAAACTAAGAGAACAATCTTTTACTCCAATGTCAACTTGGTTAACATAAAAATGACACTTACCCTTTGTGATATATGCATAGACAAGGCAGTCTTGCTATAGTATCTCCCTGCTGCAATTCTTCAAGGCATATTGCACATTCCCCAGCATCTTTACTCAGCACATCCTCTGTAGAAAAGGATGAATTCAGGACAATAAAGTTAGTCATCCAATTGAAAAAAGACTTATGTGTATGCTAGTTTATAAAAAGTAGAAATCCCAACACATCTTTTATCAAAACTATATAAAACTGTATCTGTATCTGAAATACTATTCACAAATGCTCTTCCACTTTATTGAGGCATTACAGTAAGCAAGAATAGTACAGAATTCCTCAACTTGCAAAGGATTTTGATTTAAAATTTTAAGTCCTAAGTTTGGTGTCTAAGATAGTTCATCAGACATGAAAATAAAACATTATTATAAATTTTAAAATTCTAAAACACAAAAAGAAATCACCTTGAATATGAAACTTTTAAAAAGCTACTTAACTCAAGAAAATACTGCAAAGAAAGATAAAAAAGCTTTTGTGTGAATCCTGAGACTTTAAGAGACTTGAGGATTTAAGACATTGGACACAGCAATTCTTCATAATCTTTTTGCCATGACAATGCCAAGCCTATGTTAGGCAGTAATTAGAGTGGCTTCCAGAAAGCTCTGCAGGTATTTTGAAAAATCTATTGTGTGTTTAAAGTACTCCAAGGGCAAACCCCTTATTATAAAGCAAAAGTTCCTTTAAAAAAGTTCTTTCAAATTTTTACCTGAAATTTTAAATTATATTTTAATGTTAAATTTGAACTGTTAAAACAATCTTGCCTAATATACAGCGCTAGCCAGATATCCTTTGTGACTCTTTAAAGAGCACAACATTCCATTACTGAAAAGTATGAATTAAAAACAAACAAACAACTGACAGCAGTGTGGCTCCCCATTTAATTATTCATTTTAAAGGGGAAACATAGACTTAATTCACATTAAGGGGAGACACAGAGGGAAGGCACTAGCTGGAGGGGATAGACAACTGCTGCAGAATCAGAGAAGGCTCCAACAAGAAGAGTTTACACTAGCTGAACCTAAGGAATGTTAGGAGTGATTTTAGCTAAATACCAGGTAGCTCATAGTCAGAGACTTAGCAGGGAATGATTTCTGTACAAGCAAAACTGGAGAAATGGAAAATGGTGTTTATTACCACTTCTCTCAAGTTCCCTTTCACCATTTTTCTTCTGTATGTGGGACCCTCGAGGTCCCACATACTCTTCCCACTTGACTCTGGATCCCAAGCCTTTCTTTCTTTTGGGAGGGGGGAGTGGTGGTACTGGGGATCTAAGGCCTTGCCCATGCTACGTAAGCACTCTATCACTGAGTCTCGTTTTTCTCTTTTGCTTGATCTCCATTTTTCTCTCAGTGTCCTGAGTATCTTTTAATGAAAGATTCAGACAGGGAATCAGTTCAGTATAAAGCACTAACTAGGATATTAGTAGTGGGTACAAAAAGAAAATGATTGGAGCTGGACATGGTGACCCACGTCTATAATCCCAGGAGGAAGAGACAGGAAGACTGCAATTCAAGGCCAGCCTGGCAAAGTTAGTAAGAGGCTCTACCTGAAAAACAAACTTAAAAAGCAAAAGGACTGGGGGGATGTGGCTCAAGTAGAATACTTGCCTAGCAAGTATGAGGCCCAGAGATCAATCCTCTGTACAAGCAAAACAAAAGAAAAAAAACAAAAAACAAAAAATAATAAATAAATAAATAAAAAGAAAGAAAATGATTAGAAAGAAACATTACTCTTTGTGAAGGTCTACAGTAAAAAATAATAAGAGTATATTCCTACTACTTAGATTTTTTTCCCACCATAAAGATGTATCAACACTAGAAAAAAGAATTAGAAGAATGTAAGTTATACAATAAACTTCCAAAAATCAATCACTACTTTCTACTCAACCCAAGACATCAATGACTTTAAGATGCACCATGAGTTTATAAACCACTGAGTAAGAAAAAATGCCTCCGGTAAACTGTAACACATGCCAATTTTAAAACACATCTTATTGTCAGAGTTGCTGAAGTGTGACAAGGCTGTCTTACAACTGATTGGCTACATTATCACATTTCCCACCTTGGAATACATTAACAATGCATCCAGATTTAAGTATAAATTTACTGTCAATCTCATTCTTCACAAATTAAGAAAGAGGTAAGATGTCAGCTTAAAAAAAAAAAAAAGAGAGAGAAACACAACAGCCATTTTTGCCAAATAAGCCCAAGTAACAGATTTCCAACCCTAAAAGGAATTAAGTAGCAATTCACTAAGTATTACCTCTGAACACAATGTTGAAAGAAAAACAACTGTCTTTTAACAGTTATATTGACATATGACCAGGTATCATTTCTTTATTACAGTAAGTTTTATAAGCATCTCTGAGATTTTAAATATTTAATTAAAATGTTTACCATTCAATTAAAATATCTAATTTTAATATTTCTCAATCTTATCTTTCTTATAGGAAAATCTGTATACCAAAGACAAACATAATCTACACAATTAACAGAACTATTTCTTAAGAATATCGTATCACAGTATTTAAAAATTGACAGGGGCACTGACAGAATTGCTCAAGTGGTAGAGCACCTGTCTAGCAAGTGTGAGGCCCTCAGTTCAAACCCCAGTACTGCTAAATAAATAAATAAATACATAGAAATGTATTTTCTGTATCAAGAAAGGTACACATGTGCTGAGGGTGGCCATGTGTATAACCCCAGCACTCAGGAACCTGAGGCAGGAGGTTTTTCAGTTTGAGGCCAGCCTTGGCGACTATGTGAGATGCCATCTTAAAAAGCCAGGAAAAACAAAAACCCAGCAGCAACAGAAGAAAGGTACACCTCCAGACAACATTGAATTTAAGCAGAGGCAGCCATGTCCACTGTAAGTAGCGTCTAGTGAAATTACCATGGCTTAGAAAACTAAAAGCTAATGTTAACATACTGTAACTACTGATTGCCAATCAACTGAAAACATTCATGTTGAGACTAGGCACAGTGGAATCATCACTTTAGGATGGAAATCATGTAGGGCAGACTGTTAGTTACCCAAAAATCTCTATTATGAAGAGAACACTGTAACAGAGTTAACAGCCACCATAGGTTAGTCTGGGTTCACCTCTTCCCAATCACTGATCAGTGAAGATCCATGAGATTGTAGACAGGAAACTGAGGTTGTGTTGCTTTTCAAAAATGTTGTTCATTACCCATGCAAACATTTGGAGCAATGAAAGTTAAGTCAGAGAACTGCTTGTCAGTCTAACTCTGTGGCTTATTCCTAAGATGTTTGCATTAATGTATACAACTGGAAACAAGAAAAGAAAAGTTAAATGTAATGATTTTTAACCAGAGGTGGGCACCAGAATCCCTTTGTGGAGCACATTCTTTTTTACCACCACAACAAATAACTACATCTACCTGAGCCTCTAGAGACTGCCGTATTTGCCTGTCTCAAAAATGAGATCACTACTAAAGAATCAACGTGTTTTAAAAAGAAAAAAGAGAAAGAAACAGCATGTTGAAGTAAAAAGTGTTAACATTTAAAGTTGAGCTGGGATGGTGGTACACATCTATAAATCCCAGCACTTGGGGGGCTGAGGCTGGAGAACTATGCATTTAAGACCTCTCTGGCCTACATAGCCTGTAATCCTAGCTACCCATGAGGCAGAGATTAGAAGGGTCGCAGTTCAAAGTCATCTCAGACAAATAGTTCTTGAGACCCTATCTTGGAAAAAAAAAAAAAAAATCACCAAAAAGGGCTAGTGGAGTGATTCAAGGTGTAAACCCACTATAGCCAAAATAAATAAATAAATAAATAATTCAAAATTGAAAACTTAAAGTAGATTTCCATTCTAACTACTAGCTATACAATCTTAGATCTGTTAAGTCAGTCTCTGAAATATCCATTTATTCTTCTTTCATATAAGCATAAACATACTCAAATTTTTAGAGGTGAGATTTTTAAAGAATTATATAATTATACTATAGAAAGTATTAGTTTTATTATTAGGAAGAAATGTATAGGCCTCTCAAAGCACAATTATTTCCAATTTATTTTCTCCCCACCCTATTGTTTTAGTTGTTTCAAATTTACACATCACCAAATAACCCCACAACAACCAGGAACTTCTGAGATAATTGTGACCTTGCCGTTTCTATTGTAATTGTCAGGCTGGGAACAACTCACCGACAGTAACACTGCCCAATTAATTTATGAATGCTGTGGCTCCATTCCACAGTTTTCAGCATCGTAACTCTCCACTTTGCTACGTTCTTTTAGACACAGTTGAGTATTGATAAATCTCATGAAGTGTTACCTCTATTTTATACGTAAGGAAATGAGAGAGTCAAGAAATTTAACTTACCAGAAGTTACTAAACTGTAAGTTCTGGGACCAGGATTCAAATTTAGGTGGACCTATTTAATACGTAAGTCCTTGGCTTTTTCTTGTCTACTTCATGAATTTTGCTACAAGAAATAATTCCACTTTAAAGCTGCATAAATACTGAATTGAATGAGCAATTTTAGATAACCTTAAGTTTAAAATAGTCAAGCTGGGAATGACTTCATTTTGGCTGGGGGGGAGGAGTGATACTGGAGATTAAACTCAGGACCTCAAATGGATGACTACAGTATTAGAGGAAATATTCTCAACACTGGTCATATTTTATCTTCTGGAGTTCTTAAACTTTTATAAAAAACTGGTATTAGTGATGGGGGTTCACGACTGCAATCCCAATTCCTCAGGAGGCGGAGATAGGAGGATTGCAATCTGAGGCCAATCCAATAGAGAAGCAAATGACCTATTTGAGAAATAACGGAAGTAAAAAGGCTGGGGGCGGGGGGGGTTGGCTCAAGTTATAGAGTGCTTGCCTATTAAGGCCTTTAGTACTATCAAAAAAAAAAAAAAAAAGAAATGAGGTTGCACTATTTGCATGTAATCCTATCCAATATAATGTTTTATGATAAAATAGTAATTGTACTGTCCACAATGGTAGTTGCTAGCCACAAGTGGCCTGAAAAGAGCTCTTAAAATGTGGTCAGTGCAATTGAGGAACAGAATTTTCAGTTTTATTTAATTTGGCAAAATA